AGGTTCATCCAATGATGATGAAACCTAGCTAAATCAAATCTATGAAAAATTAGGAGCAAAATGAGTCCAATATGTAAAATTTTGCCTAGGCCCAATTCTGGCCCAATTACTAGTCACACCCTCAAGCATTGCTAAATCTCACCCCTCTTTCTCTACTGAAAAAATAGAAAATGAGTGTATCAACAAAAGAGGTTAAATGGAGTCAAACTCTCCAAGTAACCCACCCTAGAATTAATATACAATGACTAATAAAAGAAACTAAAGTGCCTCACAAATACAAAGGCAAAAATAAGCCTATACAAGAGAACTATGTACAAGATATTTACAACTAGAACTATGCCTTCTCTTCATGATAGAGTGGTCCAAATTAAAGAGTACCTTGGACTTTAGAAAGCCAACTGATCTTCAAGGTATCCACTGGTCTTCCAAGTGGCCATAGCTCTAGTGATTGGGCCATTGGCCCATGGTCCATCATCCCATTCCTCTTGGTTCCTTCAGTGTATCACCTCTTGGATTCCTTGGCCTTGGCCATAGTCTATCATCCAGGCACTATCGGCCAAGCTTACAAATGCCTAGTTCTCGGGGTTTTGAGTCTCTTCCTCCTCATCATCGACTCTGCCTTCATCCATTGGGTCCCTGGTAGTGTCCTAGTTCAGTGTCTGATTGGATGTGGTGGGTGCAGGTGCTTCGACATCCGGCTCGGCCCCCTCTGGCATCTGACCGAATGATATGAAGGTGCCTTGGTAAAAGTCACGACCCATGTCAAACTGAAAGTTTTCTAGAAGATGACAAAGTGCCCTCGCTTGCCGAACGGCTTAAAGGAATCTCGCTTCGTGTTGTGCCACGATACGGTCTTTGGCCATCTCTTTAAAGTTGGCCAACTTAGCCTTAACCCGTTCGGCCTTCTCCAGATGAGCTTGCCCTTCATTTGACGCCTTTTGAAGTTCTAGTCGAACGTTATCATTCTCATGCCTCAGTCGATTCAACTCAAGTGCAAGCTCTTTGTTTTTCGCCACCAAGCCCTCGGTGGCCGATAAGGCTTCGGCAGAGGCCTTGTCGGCCTGTTCCAACTTGTGCTTCAGCTGCATCAGCTCGCCAACTGGTTCCATTGTGAGGTGGTGGCATAGCAAAAGTGATCGGGCTTGTACTTCATAGAAGTACTTCCATTTGGATTTGGTGTCCATCCGATCCAAAAACTCCCTACATGGATCCGATAAAGCATCCAGACGGATCAAACTGTCAGATGAGACATCCTCGTTCAGAAAAGATCGAGACATCAGGCTGGGGGGCACAACGATCGTAGTGTTTCAATTCGTCGCCTCGGACACGGTAGGCTACTTTAACTTCTTCGATTTTTGACCCTCCCGAACGACTCCTTCCCTTTCGTCTTCTTATGATTTCTATCAGGAGAGGGAGGTGCTTCGGCTTAATTTGCTTGGCCTATTGCATCCGAGCGGCTAGAAAATTCTAAATGCTAAGCTCATTGGGACCCTTTGTCACCATAATTCCTGCAAAAACAAGCAGTTAGCATCAATATGAATTTAGTACATTTCCGAAATAGGACAGACGACACACCTATCAGGTCATTCTCCCACTTAGGAGATTCAACCAAGTTAATAAGCGCCCTGGTCGGCAAGCGCCGAGGTAGGCTAAGTAACAACTTCAAATCCTTTCGCTTTTCGGCCGTGAGAAGGTCCTTCGACACGATGTCATACAGACGGGGAGCATGCATCCAGTAGAACGGGAACAAACTTTGGTCATCTTCACCAAAAAAAAGCGACACCCGTTCGGTCGGATGGTAACTTGAAAGAATCCCGCCTTAAATTTTTATAGGATGAGGTGAAACTATCCAATAATTGCTGATCCCTGACACGGCTCAAGGACAACCATTTCGCCAAGTCGGACGGCCTTGAGGAGTAAAAATGCAAAAATAACATAGGTGAAGGCTTGATGCTGAGACATTGACATAGATTGTGGAAAGCTTGCATTTGAGCCCAGCTGTTCGGATGCATCTAGGTCGGAGCCACATTCAACACCTACAACACCCCATTATAAACTTGTTAATAGGTAGCTTTACCTTCAGATCTCGGAATAGGCAGTCATAAACATAAAAGGAATCCATCTTCTCGGTATGCTTACCCAAACAAACCATGTCGGGATTCAGAAACGCGTTGTTTCGGCAAGACTGAACCCTTATCGGATAAGGTTCTTCGGAAGCATCAAACCTGAGACAATCGATGTATTCCAATAGATTGGTAATCATGGACACGTCTCGGTAACGTGAGTAATAAGAGGTCACCTCACCCTTCACCCATTCAAAGTTAGGAACCTCAGACGGACCATACCTCTGCCGAGTAGAGACCCTTTTCGGCTTTTGAATCACCGGACTCCTGCTAGTGGATGTCTCAGCAGAGCCACTTTCGCTCTTAGTTGGTCGTTGCCTTGGAAACTCCTCTACGCCATAACTACTCAATTCAATGGATGATGAACCCCGCACGTATGACCCCGTTCGGAATGTATTGGCCGAAGAGCGCTTGGATGAGGTAGACATGTTACACGTACCATGGTAAAGGCTAGGCTGCGAATAACACGCGATCGGTCGCTCACAATGCTTGATCGGCTTCAGATCCAATCGTCTGCTCGCACTCGCTCGGTCGCTAAGAAAAGGTGTGGGGAACACTAACACCATCACCTATTTATAGTCCAAAATATTGGCGGGAAAATTCAAATGAAGAAATCTCAGCCCTTAGATCTCCGAGATCCAACTGCACAGATCGTGCGACCTTTCACCTCAGCCATTCGGAATGTCAACCGACTTGACTGTTATGAACGACATGCGCGTCCAACGTTGTTCTCACCCTTGAAGACAATTTTCTCTCTCTAAGGCGGGGGGGGGGGGGG